CAGAAGTTTTAATACTGATACTTCTTTCTTGAGCATAAAATGTCCTTGAAGCATTGTGTTTTCAGTCAAGTACAGCATAAAATATAGCTATAAAAGTATCTATATAACATCAGATACCATAAGCATCTTCCACCATGACCCCAAAATCAGCCCTCCAAATTTGGAGTGCGTCTTAAGCAGGGATGTAGGTTGTAGCCGTGTTGGTCTAAGGACATAGGCAGACAAGATTCTTTGGGTGAATCTGATATCTTTTATTAGACCAACTTAAATAGTTGGAAAACAAGTATTATGCAAGCTTTTGGGTTCAAAAACCCTTCGTCAGGCTAAGGAAGTTTCGGCAGTTGGTGTGTGCTCTTCCTGGATGGAATGAAAAGTAAAGAAGCCAGAGGCTGGTCCGGTATGCATACAAGACAGGTAGGCAATGAAAATTCAGATTGAGGAGTCAATGGGTGAGAGACAGGCTGGGGGGGGTGGGAAGAGAGAGAAGGGGGATGAATAGTGGAGAGATACCGGGGAGTCAGATGTCAGGCAGGTTATAATGTGTCATAAATCCAATGTCTATATCTAGTCCATGATTTTTAGTGTTCAGGAAGTTGATGAAGTGGAGTTCATAGGCTCATCTCTGGGAAGTGTTTTGTAAGTTCCCTTTGAGGATCAGGACTGAGAGATTGCACAGAGAGTGGTATTTCTGTCTTTGATAGATTTTCGGTGTGCACTCATTCTGGTGCGCAGTTGTTGTTTGGTCTCTCCTACGTATTTTCCATTGGGGCATTTGGTGCATTGGATGAGATATATTACATTTCTGGAGGTGCAGCTGTAAGATCCAGGAATGCTGATGGCTCTGTTGTGGGGCGTAGTAATTGTGGGGGTGGTAGAGATGTGTTGGCAGGTTTTGCATTTCTTATCATGGCACGGTCTGGATCCTTTTGGTGTGTTCTGGGCTTGAGAAAGTTTGCTTCTGGTGATGAGGTTAGCAAGGTTTGGTGCTTGTTTCAAGGCTAGGATGGGTGGCTCTGGGAAGATCTTTTTAAGAATAGGGTCTCTTTCTAGTATGGGCTGCAATTGTTTGAGGATTTTCCATATGGGTTCGAGGGAGGGGTGCTATGTCATAACCAGTGGTGTGCGATTTGTGGGGGGGTTTCTTCTGTACTGCAGCAGTTCTTCATGTGGTATCCGGGTGGCTCTTTCAAACATGCGATCTCTCTCTCTGGAGGAGTGTCCTTGTTGGGCGAAAGCCTTTTTGAGATTGGTGAGGTGGCAATCCTGGGTGTTCTCTTCAGTGCAAATTTGGTGGTATCTGACGGCTTGACTGTATATCACAGCTTTTTTGGTGTGTTTAGGGTGATTGCTGGTTCTGTGCAGATATGTATGCTGGTCTGTGGATTTCTTGTATACTGTGGTCTGTATTTTATCATTCTGGATACTGATCATTGTGTCTAAAAAGGAGATGTTGGTGCTGGAGTATTCTAGAGAAAGTTGGATGGAGGGATGGTGTTTGTTGAATTTCTGATGGAACTCAATCAGAGATTGCAGGTTTTCAGTCCAAATGATGATGTCATTGATATATCTTAAGTATAACAAGGTTTGATGGTGCAGTTCTTGAGGAAGTCTTCTTCCAGGTGGCTTATAAAAAGGTTGGCATACTGTGACAAAACTTGCTCTGTGGGTGACAAGCGGTTTTAGGATGGATTCAACAAAACCTGATATTTCCTCAGTTAGGGTCCCATGGTTGGATATGATAGGTCTGCCAGGGTTCCCTTGTTTGTGGATTTTAGGGAGCATGTAAAAAGTCCCCGGGTTAGGTAGTGCGGGGATCAAGGTCTGTAGTTTTTCTTGTAGTCTTGATGGAAATGATTTGATGGTATTGTTGAGTTTCCTGGTGAAAAGGGGCGTAAGATCTTCTTGTAGTTCTTTGCAGTAGGTGGTGTCAGAGAGCTGTCTGTTGGCTTCCTTTATGTAGTCTTCACGGTTTAAGATGACTATGGCTCCTCCTTTATCTGCTGGTTTTTTTACTATTTGGTGGTTAGATCTTAAAGATTCTATGGCCCTTTTCTCTGGTAGAGAGAGGTTGTTATGGTGGCATGTGTTGCTGATTATTTCATTGTTCATTCTTTCCCTGAAGCAGCCAATGTAGTGGTCAAGGTTAGGGTTTTGTCCACTGTGAGGTGTCCAATCTGATTTTTGGGGGGTTTTTTGGCATTGATCTTTTCCTGGATGTTGTCAGAGGATGAGTTGCTGTTGGGAGTGGGTTCAGTTTGGTCGTGGAATTATTTCTTGAGGCAGAGGCGTCAGAAGAATTCTTCTGGTTCTCCACATTGAAGTATTTTATTAGGGTATTTTTCTGGACAGAAATTTAGGCCTTTAGAAAGGACAGATTTTTCAGTTTTGATAAGCGTGTGTGTGGAGAGATTGATAATATTTGTGGGTTGGTTGCTCTTTTTGTTTTATCAAGTCTGAGGTTGGAATGTTGTAGGGTGTTGGTGTTGTTCCTCTGATGGTTGTTTTGTGGCTGGGGAACTTGTTCTTGGAGTAATTTGTTCCATTTCTTCTTTTTATGTAGGATTAATGTTGTAGAAAGTTTTTTGTAGTCTCTATGTATCCATTGTATATTGTTAGGGAAGATGACTGGATTTCTGTCTTTTAAGTTGTAGTATGTGGTGATTTCCTTCCTGAGTTGGTCTCTTTTGGAGTAGAGTAGGTGAAGTAGATGATTTCTAATTTTCTATGAAATCCTTCTGCATAGCTGTGAAGCATATTTGGAGTTATGTGTAGTAGTCAGAGGATTGTAGATGTTTAGTCCTCGGGGAACGAAGCTGTGTTTCTTGCAAAGGCTTAGAAAATATATGTCGCTGTTGAGTTTGGCTTCTTTTCTTTTTCATGTTGTACAGCTTCCAAAGCAGATTTTTCACCACTGGAATAGAAGCAAGTGCTCTAATAGCTATCAAAATGGCTCTATTTCTTTCTGGCCCAGCAAGCAGTACAGACAGAGGCCAGTGCTAACCCTCTCTCAGCTGCTAAGGAATCTGCAATTCCTAGTGGTTGAGCACTGTACTTGTAAACAACACTTTATTATTTACAGGAACGTACATAAAAAAAAAAAAACTTTTTAGAGGAAAGAGGAAATGGTTTGCTACCATTTTCACTCTTCAGAACCCTTTGAAAGGGTGTGAGGCCTAACCTGGCTGCTGTTTTGTCTTAACAGAAAGTTCCTAACTCACCCAGATCTTCCTTCCAAAATAATAGGAGCACATCTTTTTTGGAAGCATGTGATATTAAATAAAAATATGGTATAAACTGAAAAGAAAAACACAAAAGACTTTCCCTAAAGTTTTCATTATTAATCTTAGATGAGAGATTTTCATAATGTATTATAGGGTTATAGTGAATCTTAGTCTCACTTGAACTATACATTTCAGTCTCTGTCATAACAGGTAGGAGATCTATTAGATAAGGGAAAAGAACAATTAAAAAACCTATTTCATCCATTTAATGATATATGGATAAATTTCTTCTCCGGTTTCCCTAACAAGTCCCAATAGATGACCTTTTTTCCTCATAGCAAATAATAGAAAGGGGTTATATTGCAAGAAAGTACATCTTTTGAGTGTTGTGTAAAGCAAGCATTTATTCACTGAGAGATGCATTTTCAAATATCCTGAACTGACTTGTGAGCACAAGTCCCACTGACTTTCAGCTTGCTAGAAAACTTGCTACTACGGGACTTATAATAGACACTCATTATAAATAAGTTATTATTATAAGCTTCTCACTTATTTAGGTACCTTAGAAAATCATATAAATACAAAGTAAGGTCAATACTTTCAACTTTAGACACCCTAATCTGGCCTCCTTAATCCATATTTAGATATATAATAAACAGTAACAACAGGATATCTCAAGTCAGAGGTGGGGCCCTCACTCTTTTCAGAAGTCTCAAGCTGGCTCCTCTTCTTCAGACAAGCGCATCTCGGTATCCATCTAACTTTAAACCCTTTAAAAAAAATTATCTAGGAAACTATAGAAACAAATTTCCAACACAAAAGGAATATACAGGAAGTGCATGAGGATGAAGTTATTATATCTTGCAAAGCTTTGCAAATCTAATAATATACAAAAATTCTAATAAATTATCACCTCTGCTATCTAGATAATTATTTAATTAGCATTCAAAAATATCATTAACATTCACATTTCCACATCTTTCTTAAGGGTTAAATTCTGTCATGCCCTACATCCTTTTTTTCCAGATGTATATGTTATAGTGCAGTTTTAATATGAAACCTATTTTTGGAAATGTTATCAAGACTCAGCAGTTGGGACTTCTAAGAGTGTTCATTGTTGGTCTAACTCTACTCACATTTAAATCGATGGGTCACTCAGGCCAATACACTAAGCATGTCCCCCCCTATACTATAACCCCACCTAACAGATATTTCAGTAGATCATCTTGAAATATAAGCACAAAAATCTAAGCTGATGAAAGGGAAATAAAAAGAGTTGGGAAATATAGGGAAAGAATGGAATTGCCAATTTAAGAGATGTCTCATTTACTGCACAATTTCCATGAAATCCAGTTACATCTCCCCAAAATTGTACTAAATCATCATGAACCGAGCTTATATTTCTTTGGAAATATGCCATTTTGCCCACATACATAAATCAATGCTACTGGAGTTGATTTAACCAGTTATTTAAACATAATTCTCTCTCACAAATTACAGCTCATGTTATCCATTTCTTTTGCAAATGAGATTATTAAATTTCAATATAATCATGACTATTAGAATGAGAGTTGCAGACAGCATGTTCATAAACTTGCCTTCACTTTCAGAATCTGATTTAATATAAGCCTTTTATAAAGACATTACTGTGCCATATGACAAATATCACAATTATCACCTGATATATTCAATATCAAGACAACTAAAGATAGGATGCACAAAATTTCTGGTTCATCCAAACACAAGCATGAGCATTATCTTTATTTATTACATACTTACTTTTGAACCCCTTCTATATTTTCTTTAGACAAAACACATATTTGGGTCTCAGAAAGAAAATTCCAAGCTGTAATCTCTCCAGTTACGGTATCTTGATCTTGGCCTTCTTCCTATAAAAAGGATGCTATTTTACAACCTTATTTTATTTCCAAGGTATTTTACAGAATGTACATAAAAGTATAATTCACCAAACATCAAAAAGGAAATTTTATGTCAGCAATACTAAGCAGTAATGAAGTTGGGGGATAGACAGAAATTACGTGGATGCCCAAAAATAATCTGCTTGTCTTAAACCAGGTTTAACTGGTAACTCAGTATTATATCATAGGGAATGTAAGATAAAACTAGATATCTGTATAAATAATAGGCCTGTGCGAAGCAGCTAGTATTCACTTCGGATTCGGCTGATTCGGGAGACAGTAATTCGATTCGGTGATTTGAATCAGTGTCCCGAATCAATTCGGCCGCATCTGATTCAGAGATTCAGCCACCGCCAAATCGACCAAATCTCTGAATCGACCCCATCCCCACCTGCTCACAATGGCTGCCCCACCTCCTCTCCCAGCTCTTAGAAAAAAAAACAAACAAAAAGCCCACACTCACCACCAGCTGCCCCACTGCTGCATGAGGAGCTCTGCCACAAGCCCCCAGACCGCCCCCACTCTCCCAGCCCCCCCCATGGCTACCCCACCTGCCCCAACTCCTGGCCCTTTAAAAAAAGCCCTGACTCATCAGCTCCTACCAGGCAGGGGGGCTGATCCCTGCTGCCTCCCACTGCCCTGTGCTATGGGTGGTGGGGGTCTGCCATGAGCCCCCAGAAGCCCCAAGGTCACTGCAGAAGTGAGTTGGGACTTTTTTTTTTTTAAAGGACTGAGAGCTGGGGCAGGCAAAGCAGCCATGGGGGAGCTAAGAGAACAGGTGGGGGTCAGGGGCTCATGGAAGAGCCCCCTATGCAGTGTGAGGCAGTGCGAGGTAGTGGGGATTGCCCCTCCGCTTGGCAGCAGCTGGTGACTGGGGGCTTTTTTTTAAAGAGCCGGGAGCTGTGACTGGGCAGGGCAGCTGGGAGGGGGGCTGAGAGAGTGAGTAGGGGTCGGGGGGCCCAGGGGGGGGCTGGGAGAGCAGACAGGGGATGGGGCCTGGCAGGGGACCCCCCCTGGTCCCCTCCTCCCTCCTCCCGC